ACTCATTCCTAATTCCCTGCCTGGGAAGGTTCAGTTCAATGCTGAGAGACCATGTTTAAAAACTAACTTCAGAGTCAGAAAAAAGCACGGGTGTGCTTGTACCTAGAAATGTGCTAGAGGGAACAACTTGAAAACAGTTCATGGGCACCTGGGGCCGTTGTCTGGGAGCAGGTGGAGTGTGGTATCTGAAGTTAACTCTATCAGTCATTATGTCTTGTGTGTCATGTTCTGCTGGTTGGGAGGGCTGGAAGGGACACTCAAAGGCCATGCAAAAGTCAGTTAGAGTCAACAATTGCCTGGTCTTTCCTCCACAGAAGGAGGGTTGTTTTTTAAATTTTTTTAAAAATTTTTATTTATTTATTTATTTATTTATATGTGGTGCTCAGGATCGAACTAAGTGCCTCACACATGCGAGCAAAGCGCTCAACCACTGAGCCACAACTCCAGCCCCCAACGGAAGGAATTTTTACCCTGCATACCCTGCATTGGTGAGGGGAAGGCCATGAAATGGTGAAGAACAAAAAATGAGAAGAGAGAAGAAACTGCTACACTGAGCAAAGGAAAGAGAGAGTTGGGTCAAAATGCTTGTTTTAAAAATTGGTCTGGCCTGGGCGTGGTGGCACATGCCTGTAATCCCAGTGGCTCAAGAGGCTGAGGCAGAAGGATTACAAGTTTGAGGCCAGACTCAGCAATTTGGCAAGGTTCTTAGCAACTTAATAAGACTCCATCTCAAGGTAAAAATCAAAAAAAAGGGTTGGGGATGTGGCTCAGTGGTTAAGCATCCTTGAATTCAATCCCTGGTACAGGGGGGAAAATTGGTCTGAAAATGTTACACTTCAATAGGTCAGTCTGAATCCTTAAAAGCTATGGTGTTGGCCCATCCTGCTTCTCTGAGGCTACACTTCCTCTTTTTCAACTCCTATTTGTACTACAAAGAGGGAACAGATATTCTCTGCAGTGGAGTCATATGGTTTAAATGGGAAATGAAGTTTATTAAAGCACTTGCAAGAGGGGAAGTAGCAAGTGCACATGGCTTTCTGAGCTCTCTGGGTCACAGTGAGAGGGGGGCTTGGGCTGAACATGGCCAGCTGAAGCCAAAAGCAGAAAGGGCTCTAAAATCATCCCTTCCCTGCCGCAGTCTGGCTGGGCACAAATCACGAGCCACTCAAGCAGGAACAAACTTTATTTTTGAAACTGCCGCCAATGCCCCGTAGGYTCCGGGCCCCATTGCCGACAGACCCACGCCGCGTTCTCTCGGACCCCAACAGGAAGTCCCTCCTCCGGAATTCCCTCCTACCACACTTCCCCAACCAATGGGAACTCTCCAGGAGTCCCGTAGCAGGCCGAGGTGGACAGCAGGAGTCCAATATCCAAATGAATGCAGATCTTAACATAATCATATCATCTCAACCAAAAATGCCATGCATCATATTACTTGGCTGTGGCTCTTAGCACTTCCCCTCAAGCCTCTGCCTGGGAGCTTCCTGGTGGAGGAAGCAGCCTTGTTGCAAAGGCTTTATTAGCATGTCATCCCATTGGTCTAACTCAAACCTGCTGAGCCAGCTCTGCTAAGTTAAGAGAGGGCAGGAAATGCATGTTTGAGGCTTTCTGAATTTGCTCCCTTTAGTCATGCCCAGGTTTCTGGCCCCTGGAGATAGTCCAGATCCTCTAAACAAGAAAGAGAGGCATTTTCCAATCTGGTATCAAAGGTTCATTCATGTCCCCTACCCCCCAACTTAAGGCCTTATTGTCCTGGACTTTTCAATGTGCTTAGCCCCAGAATATCTCCTCTTTGCCACTTGGTTCTCCAGATCAGCAAATCACGACAAAGAAGTATCTAACCATGCTGAGTTACACAGAGTCTGGAGACAACACATGCTCTGCCTTTATTTCTATGTGTTGGATTATTTTCAACATCTATGTATCGGCAGTGCTGTTAAAGGATGATTTATACACCAGGATAAAAACAAGACTCTCATAGACCTGCAAAAGGCACTGATATGGTTTGACTCTGGAATGCCCCCTGAAAGCTCATGTGTTGAAGGCTTGGCCCAAAGCAGAAAGGTTCAGAGGTAGGACTTTAGGAAATGATTAGTTCACTCACAAGGGTTCTAACCTTATTTGTGGATTAATCATTAATGGCTTCATAATTTGAATGGACTGCTGGGAGGTGGTAGAAACTATGGGAGGAGGGACCTAGTTGAAAGGAGTATTTCCGTGGCTGTGTGCCTTCTGGATTATAACTTGTGCCTGGCCTCTTACCACCTCCCTCTGCCCTGTTTCCAGGCTGCTATGAAATAGCACTCTGCTCCACCATGCTCTCTTTTCCATGATTCTCTGCCTCACTGTGGGCCCTTAGCAATGAAATCAGTCAACCAAAACCTCTGAAACCATGAGCCAAAATAAACCTTTCTTCCTTTTAAGTTGTTCATCTCAGGTATTTTGTAACAATGATGAAAAGACGATTAACATATGAATAGACATCAAAGATTTATTTAACTCAATTAGTGAGGGGACCAATAAGATGCTACAAGTAGTTCAAATGAGAATTTGATTTACAGAGATTTATATTTTCTGCCAGACAAAAACAATAATTTGTATAGCTCTAGACAGGAAAGATATTCATCAGTAATTGTTTTCTACGTGTTATCAGTTTTCTACCTTTACAGAATTATAAAATAGCCTAGTCAAAGACAATCAGAGACACACATCCTATAAAATCAGATAATCCCCTGGGGATTCACTGGACAGGGCTCAGCATTCTATTGAAAGGACACTCAGTAATCTCATTTGCCCACTTCAAAGTATGACAGTTTTTCCTGACCAGTTTCATTTTCATTGTGATTGATTATATACCATTTCAAAGAAAGGTTATTCTTGATTTWAAAAAAAGGCTAGTCTCTTTAGATTTGGCTGATTACTTTCATAAATTTATGAGAGTATTATTTACCATGGAGGCCTCTTTCAGTTTGTTTTGTAAAATCTAGAACCATGTGTACTCGAACAATTCCAAATTAGCTTCTGTCTAGAAGTTACCATAAGGAATCCTAGACTGGACTTTTAAAAGCATTTATCACTTGCTATTTACTGAGACTAAGAAACCAAGCCCAAGAAACKCCACCTGTACCTGTTCATTGGGTGAATTATTTTCTTCTTGAGGCTTAAAAAGTTACCCCAAGGTGACTGGGATGTAGCTCAGTGGTAGAGTACATACCTTGCATGTGTGAGGCCCTGAATTTAATCTCAGTACCAGGTTAAAAATCATTACCCCAAGAACTTGCCTGGAAGCGATAAGCCTGGACCCTATAAATTGGCCCCAGGATCAATTTTCTAGGGAGGACTTTGTAGACATTGATCTCATAAGTACATCTAAACTTTGTTCCTTAAAACGGCTTGTCACATTAGTTAAGTGAACATCAGTCTCAAATAAGACATTCCAGGCAAGGCCTTGATTGCATAATTGATTCTTCCACTTATATCCTGGCACAAAAGAAGACAGATTTTTACTGAACCTAAGCAAACAATTATACTGCCATGAAATGTAAATGGATGGAATGTTTCTGAACTTGAAGGAGGGGAATTATATCAGTGGGAATCAAATATCATTTTAAAATGCTTCATCATGGTTTACAAAAGCAGAATTTTAAAAATTATTGTTAATTACAGATAGCATAAGAAGAAAAAAAATTCTTACATATCTAGGAAATAGGAATTTAAAACAAATTGATGATAATCCAAACAACCTAGATAAAATTCCCTCACCAATTCATTCATTCAAGCCTATGTAATTATTTGTCTATTTTTTGTTGCTGTAACAAAATACCTGAGTAATGTAAAAAGAAAAGAGGTTTATTTAGCTCATAGTTTTTGAAGCTGAGCATCCATGATCAGCTGTCTTCACTGTTTCAGCCTCTGGTGAAGGTCTGATTACATGGCAGTCAGGCAGATGGTATCTTGGGAGTATATCAAGAGGGAGAGAGCAGTCACACAAAGAGACAGGAATCAAAAGAGTCAGGCCCAGCATGGTGGAGCATGCCTGTAATCTCAGCAGCTTGGGAGGCTGAGACAGGAGGATCATGGGTTCAAAGCCAGCCTCAGGAAAAGTGAGGCGTTAAGCCACTCAGTGAGACCCTGTCTCTAAATAAAATACAAAATAGGGCTGAGGAGGTGGTTCAGTGGTTGAGTGCCCCTGAGTTCAATCCCTAGTACCAAAGAGAGAGAGAGAGAGAGAGAGAGAGAGAGAGAGAGAGAATATCAGGGGCCAGGCTTGCTCTTTTCATAACAACTCCCTCACTAATGGGGTCCCTTTAATTCCTTCTGAAGGCAGAACCTCCATATGAACTAATTACTTTGCACTAGGCCCCACCTCTTAAGAGTTCCACCACTCGGCACCACCATGCTGGGAACTGAACTTCCAGGACACGAACCACTGGGGAACATGTTCAAACCGTATCCAAAGCACAACAATTAATTCTTGTTCTGCTGGATCTTGGGTTAGTAGTTTTGTGAAACTGTCTGCTTTTCAACTACAGAGTTCTGGGAATCGTGACTCAAGTCTGCCAATACAGACTCAAAGTTCAGCTTTGAAGAGGCAGTGGTCTGGAGTACAGAGTACAGTCCTMTCCCGCAAGGCTCTGAGACTGTCCTTTGATGAAGACACAAACTTGGGCCTACAGATTAGAGCAGAGTCTTTGAGCAAGCATCAAAGGAAAAGAAAAACTATCTGTAGCTAACACAGACTTGATGGCTACAGTTCATTTATTACTGGCATTTTTTCAAATATGAAAAGTACAATGAGGTTTGTAGTAGGAATAATGCAACTGACAAGGAAATTTAGTTCTTCCTGTGCAGAACAAGGATTTTAAAAACTCTGCTCACCCTYCCAATATCTACAGAGATGACCTGCCCAGGTGCTGATCAATGTCTGAGGTCCTAGGGATTCAGCCACAAGAAGGAGTGGGSGCCGAGAGCTGTCCAAATCCAGCCCTCAGCAAAGCAAATAGTAATGGCTGGAAGCTTAAAATAGATCTGGGGAGGAGCTATTAACATGGCATATGAAGCAGTYCAGCACCTCTGGACTTTTTCATTTTGGAAATTGCTGTGGTCCRTTTTTACGTCCTTCTATGCAATGGACAAGAAAATACAGACGTTGACTAACATATTTGCCCCATTTGATGATGAACTAATTTAGACCAGCCAAAATAATTGTTCCCCAGGGACACAGGAATTCAACCTCAGTTCAGAAAATCCCTGACATCTGACGTAGGAGGATTTATAGGTTTAGTGGAAATTGCTTTCTCCTGCTTGCCAGATTACATACTGCCGGTTAATTTTTTTTTTTTTTTGCATGAGTAAACATCCTTCCAATAATGAACAGACCAATAATGTCTTAAGAGAGAAAAGAACATCCGTTTCCTTTTTGTGGTTTCTTGAGAGACGTGTTTGGATTTTGAAACCCATGTTGGCTGTCCAGAATATGAAATTTGGTATCTTCCTTTTGTGGTGGGGATGGGTTTTGGCCACTGAAAGCAGAGTGCACTGGCCAGGAAGAGAAGTGCACGAGATGTCTAAGAAAGGCAGGTGAGTGAACATTGAGCGACAGAGGATTTTAGGGAACGAGGGTGTGCAGAGCAAGCTTGGGCATTGTTCTGGGAACCGAGCATCATTTTCAGTTTCTGTGTTCTGTGTGGATGCCCTTTCCCTTTGTTCTCCCATTTCTCCCCTTTTCTTTTACAATGATGCGAGATTAGATGATATTATCATCCTATATTCTTAAACTCTTAACTAATAATTGTTCTGAGTGACAGAGATTCTGGAAAAAAGAATATATGCACATTTTCTAAAATATTAAGGGCAATTCTTTGATATCCGTATCCTAGGTTTAGAACAAATCTGTGAGTTCTCAGATCACCTATTGGACCTTTAATCTTGGAGAATTATTTTATTATTTCTATTAGATATGTGGGTCCCTTCTTAATCTTAAAAAAAAAAGGTAGATTGTGTGACTTGAAGGACCATTTGATCATTGCCTACCTGTAAACTGGGAGGGGGCAGGGATGGAGCTTGCCAACACAGTACGTGCGGCCCCAGCCGTACCAGCTTGTGCAGATGGAGCTTAGACAGGGAGCGACTCCCCACCGGCCCTTCTGCACTTGGCCTCACCTGGGTGCTCTGATGGCAAGGTTGCATGTATGTGCACTGCCCACCTGCTTGGATGCCATTAGTCAATAAAGCAGGACTGTGGAGACAACCTAGTCCAGCACTCTTTCTTGACTGATGAGGAAATGAAGTCAGTAAAGGCATCTTTGATTTTTGATCCTTAGCCTTAGCTCCAAGTCTGATTTTGGCTTTCTAGAAGAGCTGGAAATACCAATGAATATGAAAGGAAATTGAGCTTTTGGAAGTTTAGGGCTGGGGGTAGGTTATGTCTTGCTTCTCAGTGCCCTGCCTCTTGGGATTTGAGAGACACTTATACGAATGGGCTCCTACACAGCCAGTATCGCTCATAGCACTTATTTCAAGCTGCTTTGCAACATCATAAAACTAGGAGCTTAAATATCTAAAGGCTACCATGAGCCCTGGTGTACTGAGAAAGCCCACTGTGCCCACCAGGATCAGTGGCAAACAGTGTAATTTGTGGAGTGAAACAACCATAGAGATTGCTTGAACCAAATATGCTCATAGGAATTAAAGGTAACAATAGCAATGAACCATATTGGTTGTCATCAAAAACTTCTCATCCTCTCTCCCAAGTTAGAGTAAAAACCTATTAGCAAATGCGGGTGATTAAGAAGTCACAGTGAATTAGAGTGAATTAGACTTTTGTTTAAAAAATTTTTAAAAAGTAAAGATTTTAATTTTATTTATTAATTTTTTATTTTATTATAAACTCATAAATTATAACTATACATTTATGGGGTATAAAGTGATGCTATTTTTATGTATTACATATATTTATATGTGTATAAATACATACACAATGCAAAATGATTAAATCAAGCTAATTAACATGTTCATCACCTCAAATACATTTCAGGGTTTTTTTKTGTGTGTGTGTGTATGAGAACATTTGAAATGTATTCTCTTAGTAATTTTGAAATGTAATGTTAATAACTATAGTAACCATGCTGTGAAATATATTGCAAAAAAAACCACTAATACCTCTGTCTATTTGAAATTTTGTCCCCCTTGACCAGTATCTCYTCCCAATCCCCCTCCCCACGCGCCTCTGGAAACTGCATTCTCCTTTCTGGTTCAAAAAGTTCAGTTGTTTTAGATTCCACATATAAGTGACATCATGTGGTATTTAGACAGGTCTATTTTTGGACATTAAATTTAAGAAAGTGGTCAGATAGTCTGTGGAGATCTCTTTTAGGCATTTAGAAACAATTAGTCTATTGGAGTTGGGGCTTAGAAAGGAGACAGAGTCATTGGCTTTAGGTATTTGTCTCTGTGCCTGACTTGTTAAACCCAGAATAATATCTTCCAGGTTCATTTATTCTGTCACAAATGACAGACTCCCCTTCTTTTTTGAGGCTACCATTCATCCAACAATGGACCCCTGGGTTGCTTCCGTATCTTGGCTATTGCAAATAGTGCTTTCAGTGGACCCGGAAATGCAGGTGTCTCTTCAACATCCTGAACTCGGATCCTTTGGGTATATACTATGAAGTAGGATTGCTGGATCTTATGGAAATTCTATTTTTCTTTTTTTTTTTTAAAGAACCTCCATACAGTCTTCCATGATAGCTGTATTAATTTATATTCTCACCACTAATGTACAAAGATTTCCTTTTCTTAACATCCTCTCTAATGCTTAGCATTTATCTTTTTTATAACAGCAATTCTGACAGGTGTGATGTAATATCTCATTGTGGTTTTAATTTGCAKTTCCCTGGTGATTAATGTTATTGAGCTTTTTTCTTTTTTCATTTATCTGTTGGTCATTTTTATATCTCCTTTTGAAAAAAACAAATTGGCCCCTTGCCCTTTTTTAATAGTTGGGGAGAGGGGGTCTTACTGTATTRTCCAAGTTGGTCTCAAACTCCTGGGCTTAAGCAATTCTTTTGCTTCATCCTCCTGAGTGCTGGGACTATAAACATATATTGCTGTTCCTGGTTTGCYCTTTGTAAAATCAGGTTATTCACCAGGCATGGTAGTGCACGCCTGTAACACCAACAACTTGGAAAGCTGAGGCAGGAGGATTACAAGTTTGAAGTCAGTCTCAGCAACATAACAAGACTCCATTTTGAAACAAAACAAAATAAAAAACTTAAAGGGTTGTGGATGTAGCTCAGTGGTAAAGCACCTCTGGTTTTCATCCCCACTGCCACCAAAAAATACATAAAAATTAAATCTAGTTATTTGCTTTTTTACTATTGGGTTGTTTGAGTTCCTTATATATTTAGGGCAGTAATTCATTCTCAGATGTACACCTTGCAAATATTTTGTCCTGGTCTATAAGTTAGCTCTTCACTCTGCAAATTGTTTCCTCTGCCGTGCTTTTTAGTTGGATGTAATCCCATTTATCTTGCTTTGGTTACCTCAGCTTTTGGAGTCAGATTTTAAAAAATCATTACCTAAACCAATGTCTTATAATTTTACTGCATGCTTCCTTCTAATATTTTTATAGTTTCGGGTCTTACATTTAGGTCTTTAATCCTTTAAGAGTTGATTCCCATAGGATGTGAGATGAGAGTCCAAGTTCATTCCTCTGTATGTGATCCAGTTTTCCCACCACCCTGTATTAAAGAGACTGTCATTTTTCCATCATTGTGTTCTTGGGACCTTTGTTGAAAATCAACTGACTATAAATGCACAACTAGAAATACTGTATATTCTGAGCCATTGGTTGATGTGTCTATTTTTATGCCAAGATCATGCTGTTTTAAATACGATAGCTTTGTAATACAGTTGGAAATCAAATAGTATGATGCCTCCAGCTTTGTTCTTTTAGCTTAAGATTTTGTTTTGGTTATTTGGGGTCTTTTGTGTTTCCATGAACAATTTTGGATTGTTCTTTCTATATCTGTGAGAAATACCATTGGAATTTTCATAGGAATTGCATTGAATCTATATATCGCTTTGAGTAGTTATGAATATTTTAATAATATTAATTAGATGGGCACAGAGGTACACGCCTATAATCCCAGCAGCTCGAGACACTGAGGCAGGAGGATTGCAAGTTCAAATCCAGCCTCAGCAAAAGTGAGGTGCTAAGCAATTCAGTGAGACTCTGTCTCTGAATGAAATACAAAATAGGGCTGGGATGTAGCTCATTGGTCAAGTGCCCCTGAGTTCAATCCCCAGCAACCCCCCCCAAAAAAATAATATTAATTATACCAATACATGGGGCTGGGGATGTGGCTCAAGCAGTAGTGCGCTCGCCTGGCATGCGTGCGGCCCRGGTTCCATCCTCAGCACCACATACAAACAAAGATGTTGTGTCCGCCAATAACTAAAATAAATAAATAAATATTAAAAAAATTCTCTCTCTCTCTCTCTCTTTAAAAAAATTATACCAATTCATGAATGTGGAATATCTTTCTACTTACTTGTGTCTTCTTCAATTTCTTTCATCAGTTTTTATAATTTTTAGTGTAACTGATACCTCCCTGGTTAAATTTATTCTTAAACATTTTATTCATGTTTCAATTTAGCTATGAGGCTGTTTTCTTTATTTAATTATTAGAATATATAAATGGGGCTGTTTTCTTTACTTCATTATTAGAATATAGAAACCCCAATGATTTTTGTGTGTTGGTTTGTATCCTGCAACATTAATACATTCAAATATTAGTTGTAACAGTTTGGGGATGAAATCTAAGTTTTCATTTGTAAGATCACATTATTGGAGCTGGGGTTGTAGCTCAGTGATGGAGCCCTTGCCTGGCATGCGTGAGGCACTGGGCTCAATCCTCAGCACCACATAAAAATAAGTAAATAAAATGGGTGTATTATGTTCATCAACAACTAAAAAAAATTAAGAAAAAAGATCATATTGTCAGCAAACAGCAACAATTTCATACTTTGCTTTCTTTCTTTGGATATCTTTCATTTCTTTCTCTTGTGTAATTGCTCTGGCAAGGACTTTTAGTTCTATAGTTAAGTAGAAATACTGAGAGTAGACATTCTTATTTCTGATCTTAGTGAAATAGACTTCCTTTTTAAAGATTACTTTTCAAATYTTCTTTTTTTATTATGTTGACGCATATAACCAAAAATCTTCCACATTTTTATCGGTGCCTTAGGCATAATGGTGAGAATCATTGTTACATATTTGTACTTGCACACAATTAACAATATAATTTGTTCAGTATCTTTTCTAGTAATTCTGCTTTCCCTCCTCTCTTTCCTCTCCTGGTTCCTTTTCCTCTACTCTACTGATATTCCTTTAATTTTTATGAGATTCCCTCTCTCCACACACACATACCTTTCTTTTCCTTTTTCCTATCTCGTTTCTACATATGAGAAAAAAACATACACCCCTTGACTCTGAGTTTGAGTTGTTTCACTTAACATAAGGTTCTCAAGATCCATCCATTTTTCCTGTAGATGACATAATTTTCTCCTCCTCCTCC